TGAAAACTAAACTTCATCCACTACACAATGGCCTCTTCCAAATAACGCTTCTGCAACTAGAAATGAATGCTTGCACCTACTAGTGTAATATACACCGCCTCCACTATAAAATACACACATAAAAAATTAAAAGGAAAAAAGACAGTGATAATTATTTCTAAAATCAATTATTATGTATCGTAACTATGCTTAAAAAAACCTCTGATTACTACAATATTAATCAATTTAACAGTGAAGGTCATTGATATGCTTCATTCTTTAAAAATCTCGATTTAAAAGCTCAGTTGTAAGTTCAGCTATTTCAATTCCTGATTTTAATGGGTGCAGTAACTAAAAATGATATTTTACCATGATATGCAAGTGCAACTGCAGGAATGATTACACTCATTTTTTAATCCCATCTAGCAATGATGTACATTTGGGTAGTAAATTTCCAACTTCCCAAATGCTAATCAGATGTTGCTAAAAACTAATGGAAAGGGCTGCAAATTTTAAAAATGTTTAGCAAATGAGTTCAAAACCCACTGAAACTTTGTTTAGACGATTTTAAAGCAGGTTATAAAATTTTGTTTTGTAGCTATGAATATATCACTTTATTTTGAAAAATGGTAATTAAAGGGAAATGACTACTCATTCTACTACCTTTTCGGTAGGAAATTTAGTTGCAGGGTAACCAAAGAGCCCCAAGTGGATGAGGGGAAGTTCAACTCCCATAAAAGCCAGCCAGCTAATAAATGAAGGATGAATGAGGGGCTGGCCCCGCGGCTGAGTGGTTAAGTTCGCGGGCTCCGCTGCAGGCGGCCCAGTGTTTCATTGGTTCGAATCCTGGGCGCGGACATGGCGCTGCTCATTAAACCACACTGAGGCAGCCTCCCACATGCCACAACTAGAAGGACCCACAATGAAGAATATACAACTATGTACTGGGGGGGCTTTGGGGAGAAAAAATAAAATAAAATGTTTAAAAAAACAAAAAAATGAAGGATAAATGAAATAATTAGAAAACTGATAAGCCAAAACTCTAATAAAATGATTGACTCAGGCAAGTACTATCAATTGTTGTTTAAAACACTAGATGAACGGTTGATGGGGAAATGAATATACAAGTAGTTCCAAAAATAACCCTGCACAGAATACTGTAAGTCATAAGGAGAAAACCACGCACTGAAGGGAGTCAATGGTTAGCACCTAACCCAGTGGTCATTTTTAGCATCATTAATGGTAATTTAGATATTCCATGTATTCTGATGTGATGCAACATACACCACTAATGCACAAGCCTTTAGATATAACTTCCAGCTCACAAGAAATACAGAGAATGGAGACACAAGTTAAAAGATACCACAAGGAAGAAACCAGAGAAATTCAAAAAGTGGAACAAGATAGTAGGTCTGGCCTCTTCTAAATCAGGGTTAGCAAAAAGGGATCACGTGTGAGAGAGACTAAGGGCACAACCACCACATGCAATATACGGTCCTGGACTAGACACTGGTTTGGATGTTTTGGATCAATTGGAGAAATATGAATATAATCTGGTACAAAGATGATAAAGCCTGTACCAAAATGGAAGGAAAGATCACTGACTGAAAAACGCAGGTGATAAGCTGTCCTGGTGAACCTAAAACCTACAGTGTATGTCTGTGTGTAAATAAACACACATACATATGCACAGGTCCTGCTTCTATAAATAGAAGAGCATATTTTTTTTTGAAAAAGGAAAATTTTTTAAATTTCTCAAGGGTGTAAATATAGGTTTTATAAGTGACACCATTTTTTACAACAAAACAAAGTTTCTAATTTTTACTTTTGAAATGTTCTCTTAATCATAAATTTGTTTTGAAAAGTACTTACTTTTCCACTTAAAATTTTCACCTTTACTTGAAATGACAGGTTAAGTACCACCACTGCAAAACCTGGCTAGGTAACAGTCGCTAACTTACCACAGAACAAGGCAGCAAACTTATCATTTCCTAAAATGATATGGTTTACTTTTTTGTGAAAGAAAAACTTGCAGTTATCTTTTATGTTCTTCAACTCTTCCACAGTGAGTGGTACAACAGATTTTCAGCCTCACCCGTATTTGTTAGCAAAAATTCCACCATTTCAGATATTTGGTAATCCATTTCCTAGAGCAATATAGAGCAATACTTGGAAATACACTGAAGACAAATCAATAGTCAACCCACGCATGGCGCCTGACCATATGACAAAAGGATAAAACGAGTACAGGCATGTCAATCCTACTTTAAGTATTTGAGCATTTTAAATATTTGTAAAGCCTAACCTTTTCTTTAAGATAAAAAAACAAATGGAAGTATTAACACTTTATTCTCACGCCCCCTCCACACTCCCTATTAGGTCCTTTTGTGTACACAAGGATGAATGGAGCATGATTCCTTTCAGAGACCTAGAGTCTAAAAGAACAGAAATAGATAAAGTCAGTCCATTTGGAATACTTCCTTTGTAAGAATTCTTCCTCCAGATTTCTCGTTTTTATCTTAACATTACGAGAGTACCCTCCAAGCCTTACTATCTCCAAAATTCCTCAGCAACTCCAGAAAAGGTTATCAAGCCTGGAGATCAATTTTTAGGGAATTCTCCTCACTCATCTCTACAAATCTTTAATCAGAGAATTCAACAGACTACAACCAGAGCAAAACTTCACTTACTTTGATGTATAATCTTTTGAGGCATCCATATTCTATCTTGATACTCCTTTGCTACTACTAATAAACTTCCTTTTCTTAGAAGGTTTTTCTCTTTTTTCCTCACCTAGTGTCATCACCACTCCAAGCTCCTACTTTAGCCAGCCAGTCATGGCTGAAAAGACTTTTGCTACAGCCAAGAGCTGTAACCATCCTGCCAAGCTGGCTTCTAACTGAGCAGAGGAATGAACTCAAGTGAGCGTCCAAAACTGCTTACCTGGCACTTTCCTAACCAATCAAATCAGCGATAACCTGGGAGCATAAAATCCTGGAAGGAGCTCTAAATCTAAAATATGCCAACTGTACAAAAATAAACTTTTGCATGCCAAAATACAATCATAAAGTCAAAAGGCCACACCAAACTGGGAACAAATATGCCAACACATTATCAATAAATTGCCAGGGACTTATTGCTTTTGCACTAGCAGTAAAAAAAACAGCAACAAAAGCAAGAGCCTTTAAATCTCTGTTTAAAAGAGAGATTTCTTATTTATAAAATTATCAAAGTGTTTTGTTTCAAGACAACCTTCGGTTCCCACGACGCCCTCAGCCACCCTCTGAGGGTTTCTTCACACTTCCTGAAGTCACCACGTCTGGCTCCTCAAGATCCCACCATCTTGGGAATCTATCATCTAACCAGAGACACACACACAACTGACCCAAAAGTACCCATGAGGAGCTTTGTGTGTTCTACTCAGCAGCACGCTCTCCTAAATGGAACTGCTTCAGTCCCCAGACTTTCTCCTCAGCAGTGTAAAGACTTCTGCTGGCCCACCAAGGGCCATTTCTCAGGGTTCCCTTTAATACTTTATGAGCCTCAAGAACTGTGGCTGTGTCCTTTTTTCTATAAAGCTGTCACGATTTACTCTAATCCATGGTGTTCCTCTCCACAGTGACTGGCCAAGTAGTGGGACCAAATGCCCCGGTTACACAGGCTCTTCTTTTTTCCTAAAGATTTTTGCCATTAAGCATAATAAACAATAGGAGAGATGGAGACAAACAAACAAAAACATCACATCTGAGTAAGCTTAAAACATCAAATTTTAATAGGCATAATCAATAACCTGTGTTTCATACACTCAGAGAAGACATTAAACTTAAAGTTACCTCAGAAACATTTCTCTCAACTACTGTTGTGAGCACAGGTAGGAAAACGAAACCAAAAAAGGCCTTAATCACTGTTGTCAATGACAAACACAGAAAAGGAAATTCTTAGATTTTGAGGTGCAATTTCAACTAGTGCAACCAACTTTTGGTCTAATCATTGTAAATTCTAGATTATCAAACTATATACCAGAAAGTAATTTTAAAAAGGAAGAAAGCATGACAGAAGCAAATGGCAAGTTAGGGGAAGAAAGAACTTATCTAAAGAAGTCCCAAGACAATCCTTTTTTAATCCAGGAGTGTAACTATTACACTTATGGTGGGCAGGAGTAGTAGAAACATCCAATTACTCTCCCTCTCCATTGACTGGAGCAGCTAGCTTCCACACCACTGAAAAGAGGAAGGACACTCCTCTGGAGAGCTCTTAGCTTACTCAGGAAAAACTGTTGCTAAGATGCTCCTGCAGATGAATGCAGGAGGCGCTGGATAAAATTTGGCTCTAAAAAAACAAAGATCTTCCATGATATTTACAAATAAATGAAATTCATAATTCTTGTTTAAGTCCTGGCTATTTCAAAGCACACTTTCCATGACCCAAATAGACACTCAGTGTCATATGTGATCCACATAGCATGTTACTATTTTCCTACAATACTAACAGGCCATGTCCTCCTGCTAGATGTTTTGATGAGAATGGAGATGACCTTAGAATCACACATTAGTTGGGAAAAAATTGCCTGTACTCAAATGAAAAAGCACTCTTACCTCATGTGATGCCCTTTGATGTTTTTCTAAAAAAAAATTCAATTATTGGTCCTGACTCCACTTTCACAACTTCATGAAATGGATCATGAGTTAATAAAAACGCACCTTTGAGGGCATTATTTTCTAACCTTAAGTGCCATAATGCATAAAAAGGTTTTCACTAAGACGTGGTTAATTTTTTAAAAACAGACTTTTGAAGAAGAGTTTTAGTTCAGAACAGCAAAACTGAGTAGAAGGTACAGAGATCTCCTATATATCCTCCCTCCCACCACGTACGCAAAGCCATCCCCACTTGGTCAATTCTTTAAAAGCAAAACATGCTCTTTTTGGAAAGAAAGTAATTTCAAAATTCCAACTGCAAATTTAAAGTATCACTGTCGTATGTATTTTCACCAACACATTAGGAAAAGGTAGTTAAATACTTACCATATAACATCCAACAAGGAAAGCAGCATTTGCTTGTTTTCTCTCATCAGAGCCAGTAAAATGAATAATTTTTTTCCTTATCATTGTAATGGACTGCATAAAGATAAACAGCTGTTAGTATTTTCTTTTTAATTTGAAGCTTTCTAAAATTTTATGTTGTGATGGACATTAATTCCAAATCTCACAATGTATAAGCATTCATAACAGCGAGATCTTTAAACTCTGATACCAAAAAACACCATGGACCTTCCCAAAAAAGACTTATCCTTGGATTAGAATGAACGTACAAAAAAAGAGGAGGAAGGAGATACGAACAGATACCTGCTTCAAGTATAGACTGCCTCTGAAAGAACACAAGAGGCTGGAAAGGGGGGACCTCTTCTTTCCTTTATTCTACTGTTTGATTTTTTAAAAAAATCTATTGGGGGCCGGCACATGGCCGAGTGGTTGAGTTCACACACACTGCTGCAGCGGCTCAGAGTTTTACTAGGTCGAATCCCGGGCGCGGACATGGCACCGCTGGTCAGGCCATGCTGAACTGGCGTCCCACATGCCACTAGAAGGACCCACAACTAAAAATATACAACTATGTACCAGGGGGCTTTGGGGAGAAAAAGGAAACATAAAAAAAACTTTTAAAAAATCTATTCCCCAAACCTTTAAATTAAAAGGGTATATAAAAACAGGCAAAAATAATCCGTTCTGTTACAAATCAGGATAGTGAATGGGGGGGGTGGGGGTGGGGTGAGGCTGGTGTGGGGCTGCTAACGCTCTGTTCTGGATCTAACGATCAAGATGATTAGCCCACTATATTCAGTTTGTGAAAATGCATTGAGCTGTACACTCAACATCTGTATGGACATTATACCTCAATAAAAAGGTAAAAATCAAAAGGGTATGGAATTTAAAAATCAAAGGGACACAAGATCAGTTAGCACTTCCTCACCTGTGCTTCATTAACGCGAGGCGAAATGGATCTGGGCAAGGGTTAAGAACAAGCGGCGTTCAGGTCAATAAGCACGTGTTCCTTGCCTTCTGTGACTCAATTATGAATGTGTACCTATTTTCCTTTAGTTGCTTACATGGAGTAAGAGATCCAAGTTGACTTTTCAAAAAAGAAAACAAAATCCAACCAGCCACAGGGCAACACAAGCACAAGACACTCAATTCAAACTCCCAACACACTTTTAGCACTACTCATTGAGTAGCAGTAATGTTTCAATCAAACTAGATAGTCAACACTATGCAAGTTGTTCTAGTAAATGATAAAAAGTTTTAAAAAAATTAAAAAGGCACAATACATTCCTGGTTGACCCAAAGGATAAAAGTTCATAGATGGTTGAGTATGGGGGAAAAAATAATCTTTCAAAATTAAAGCAAAGGAACACAAGTCGGGGGAAAGGGAATTATTTTTAGCTTCCTAGCCCTGTATAAACAAAGGACCTGCCACTGGCAACCGGAAAAAAGAGTACAGGGAGTCGGGGTGGGTGATAAACATACAAGGCTATAAATGCTTATATTCTTATTCAAGAGAGAAATAAAATCCAGACAGAAGAGTCACCATCTCTACACAACTCCGTAATGAATACACACATAATGCAAAAAGAAACAGCGATGCTACAGCTTCCATTTTACACATTAGTAACTCATCTGACAGGTGCTTCTAACATTTACGATGTGGGGTTTTAGGTTCAATGCTCAAAGAAAAAAAATCTGCCTTACCCCTAAGCTTTCAATATAATTTAACTTTTAATTGAAAATAAACTCTATTTCTTCTGTGTAGTAGTCTGGTAAGTAATCAATTGACTAAAGGTGTTTTTAGAAAGTACCTGTCCCCAAATCCAGTATTTTCTCCTGGAGAATTTACAGTGACTAATTTGGAACTTCCACCTGCACATAAACACTTCTTACTGTGTATGATGAATAATTCAAAGTTTTTTTACAAAAACGAATGGGGTCTAAGTTCAAACTAACAGAAACACACTTTTGTAACTCAGTGATACAGGCTCAAAGTATGCCGCTTGCCCTTGCCTGCCCTGCTCCTCAAGCATCGTGTAAAGGCTCAAGGCGAAGAATCACAAGTAGATGATCACGGCAGATTCAAGGCAGAACGAGAGAAAGTAAGACGAGCGAGTTGTCCTTCATTAGTTTGCCAGCACTCCGTATCGAAGGCAGAGCAATGACCAAAGCAAGGGAAGGTTCTCTCGTCAGGTGTCAGTTCCATTAGGTCCAACAGTAAGAAGTTCACCAACTTCTACTTTGGCTTTCCAAGCAATTGAGCATTACCAATCCAAACCACAACCCAAAGACCCAAACTTAAACCATTCAATCAAAACTCTGGAAAACAAAAAGGCACACTAATGACTTTATAACAAAAACCATGTGTTATGTCCCAAACACCACTGCACTGAAAAACAGGACATTTCCTTTTCAAACACAGATATGTTTTCCTTACTTTTCTCTTCCCAAGATCAAGCTAACAATGATTACTTAAGTCAAATCTTAAATGAAAAAGACTTTACCTTTAATTTCTTATTTATCTTGCAACAATATCTGTAAACCATTGCCAGATTGAGTGGTCCAAAATCTGCGTAGAAGCTTTAAAAATGAAAAACAAAAAAGTACATGTATATTCTAGACGCTCTGAAAATAAATGCCTTTTTGGAGCTAAAAGATTAAATTAAGATAAGAAAGAATACACCAAACTGTTGTCAGTCATACAATTTAAAGGTACTGCCTTACTAGTAAAAGAAGTATTTTGGTAAACAATGCCTATTAAAAAAATAGGACAAGCGCTACAGCACCTGAATCTAACATCAAATAACTTATGAAAACACCTCTGAATCAAAAAGATGCTTTTCCACACATATTTTTCCACTGGCAAAAATACAAGATCTTACTTAGTACACTAGTTTGTATTCCATTGTACTGTAAACTATTAGAATTTCAAATACAAACTGTTAAATTTAGGAAGGTTCTTTCATTTCGATTTTCTCCCTAAGGATCTATTTTATTACCAAGAAGCTAAAAAAAAAAATCCTGCAATTATCAATCAACAGATTCCTAATTTTCCAAGGCTATCCTATTTATAAACATACCTTTAGATTCTTCAAAATAAAAAAAGTTACTAGTAATTGTTTAAAAAGCAATACTTACTTCTCATATTCAAGTTCATTATCTATGCTGAAATAATGTACATTTGATGAACTCTTTGGTCTGCTGTAGAGAATGGCAAAACAAAGGCGATCTGAAATGGAAAAATTGCAATGTTCCTTCCTTAAGGTTATTAAAAAACATTTCCTATATCATGATGCAACTCTTCTCGGATAAAGTCAACTTTTTATTTTTTTTTCATTCATGTTTCAGAAGGTAAGGCTGCCACTGGGTAATTTCAAAATATTCTGGCTATTTTGGGGGGTAACAAAAGCAAGCAATTGTTTTTAAAGGAGAAATTGCCTCTAACCTTAAAGTTTCAATAGTGGTAAGTGACTTTTCACATAAAGACATGGCTTGACTTCCAGAGGAAGCTCTTATCACAAAACTTTAGGTTTGTGGACTAAGACACTTCAGCAAATGGCAGCATGCATTTGATGGCTAGCCGTCAACCTAGATGACTTTCACTATGTTCCACTATGTTTTCAAGACATCCTAAAAAAACATTTCAATAAGAAAATGTATTTTTTAAAAAAATAGGAGAGAAAGAACGCTATCGAAATTGCTTCAAAATTAACACATACGGCTACAGAACACAAACAGCAAAACAAACCATATGTTTATCCAACTGTTCTTAGGGATCACTACTTGTTTTAATTTGGAGTAACTACTTTTGTAGTGATTTTTAGACTAATGACAAGGAAAGCAATGAGAGGCTTCCGCATGCCCAGTGTGAGATGAACTTGCGCTGCATGTACGCAGTTAGGCTGCCCTGAGGTTTGGCAAGAATGGGAAAGGGCAGCAACGCTCAGAGGCTCCACCCTTCCTCCCCCGCCCCGCCCCGCCCCGCCCAGTTGCCTAAAACCCTCGGTGAAGCAGTCATCCGCAGTACATAGTAGGAGCAGTAACACCAGCGGTGCCGGTGGGACACTTACACTGAAATTGCGGCAAAATCAAGTACAGCCTTTAAAACAGTAAGAAAGAAAGGACGCCAGCTGGCATCCTTTCCCCAAACGATAATTTGAACAATTTTTGTCTGCAATTCAACTTACGCAATTGCTTTACTTCCTTGTAAACTCCTCAACCAGAAATGTTTGTGGTCTCGCAACCACAAACACCCCAGTGACGACCCAGCTTACTCCCTGCCAACCGCAAGCGACCCTTGACCCCCAGGCTCAGGGCCCAGGGTTTTGCTCCCGCAGGTCCGGAGCTCCGCTCCCCTACCGGCCAGGGGGTGGGCACCCGAGGGTCCCCGCCGCGCACGTCCGTGCGGACGCGTCCCAGCCTCCCCGCGGGGCCCGTGGTCCTGGAGGCCCCCCGCGCCCGGGAGACGGCGCCGCAGCCCCCACTCACCTCGGATCACCTCGGCCACCACGGGGGGCCCCGCGCCCTCCCGGCTCATGACTCCGCGGCATCCGGAGGGCGGGCTGCGCTGGGGACAGCCCGCCGAGAGGCGGCGCCGCCCACACCCCGCGGCTCGCGGCGGAGTTTAAAGGGCGAGCCCACGCGGGCGGCGCCGCCCCGGAGCTCAGGACGCCCCGACGGCCCCGCCCCGGCGGCGGCGGGGAGCGCACCCCACCCGCCCGCCCGCCCGCGCCGCGCCGCGGCCAGAGGCACGCGCGCCTCGGAACAGCCCGGCCGCCGCGCCGGAAGGGCTCCCCGACCGACGGGCGGCGAGGAGCTGCCGGGCGCCGCCCCCGGGGCGCCGCGCGGGCGGGCGGAGCAGCCAGTCGGCCGAGGCGCGGCCCGGCCCCCGCTGGGTGCGGAGCGGGGAGCGCGGCGGGCGCCTGCGGCACGGCCCCGGCTCAGGGGTCAGAGGTGAGCCTGGCCCCGAGGCGGCGGAGGCTGCAGAGGCCCGAGGCTGCCCCTCAGATCCGGGAGGGCGGGGCACCGCCGTCCCGCCCCAGGGCGACACCCCTGCCGGTGCCTTCTCGGCCGGCGCGCCTAGCGCGGTCTTCGGCGGAGCCCTCAAGATCAGCACGGCCCCCGTTTTCTCCCACGTAATGGTGCTGCGATTGTGACCGCGCTCACGCCCTCCGGTATTTTTCCAAGTTTCCTACAGAAAAGCGTCATTTGGATAATCCCTGAAAACCTGCCCAAGGCTCCCCGTAAACGGAGCAGCACCGCGGCAGCGCCCGCCCGGAGGCCGCCCCGGAAGCGGAGGCCGCGCACGCCCCGGCGAGGAGGCCCTTCTGCGGCCGAGCCGAGGCCGAGCCGACCGCGCCGGGGACGCACGTCTTTGAAAGGTCTTCCCGGCCACAGACAACAGAGCCAGGAGAGAAACTGAAAGTATTTTAAATTCACCGCAAGAAGACGCCCAGCTCCAACTTTGTTATTGCAAAATAACAAAAATGCAAATTAAACTACAAGGTGCAGTTTTTCCCCCAGACCGGCAGAAACCGCAGGGCCGAGCCGAGGCCCGGCTGTGTCCGCCCCGTGGCCTGGCTGTGTCCCGGTTGGGTCCACACTGTGGCCCGGCTCTGGCCGTGCCGTGTCCGCGCTGTGGCCCGGCTGTGTCCGCACTGTGGCCTGGCTGTGGCCCGGCTGTGTCCGCTTGGTGGCCCGGTTGTGTCTGCACTGTGGCCCGGCTGTGGCCGGGCTGTGTCCGCACTGTGGCCGGGCTGTGTCTGCCCCGTGGCCTGGCTGTGGCCGTGCTGTGTCCGCACTGTGGGCCGGCTGTGTCCGCCCCGTGGCCCGGCTGTGGCCGGGCGCACCCTGCCAGCTCAGGAGGCCTCCCCCGGCGCACGCGGAGCAACGGGCAGCGCCTCCAAGGCTGAAATCGAACCCTGCATCTGCATGTGCCGTGTCTAAGGCACAGACACACGTGTATACGGCTGCGTGTGAAATGCAGCGCAGCAAATCTGCGGAAGCATTCACAAGAAACTGGTGGTAGTGCACGCCATTTCAAGGGGAACTGGGTGTGTGGAAGTACGGAAGGGTAAGAGATTTACGCCTTTTCCTCACTTTCAAATTTTGTACCATATATTACCTATTCAAAATTATGACACTTTTGAAAAGTAAACTTACAGGCTAATAACATTTTTCGAAAGCCAACGCTTCAAGATATGAAGTGTACAGTAGGCACAGTATAAGGCAACCTGGAAAATGTCCTTTGCACACATTTAAACAATGTAAGTGGTTAATAACCTCTTTTGGTTTCTACTATCGCTTGCAATCCAATTTCTTTTAACAAACCCAAATAAAACTGGAATCAGCTAGATGGAAGTGGGAAGAGGTTTCCCCTCCAAGTCCAAACCTGGAATTCAATTCCCTAGGGCATACCGCATGTATTACGTGGGGCTGAGGAGATCACTGATTTTTGAGGTCCAATTATCTCTGCACAATATACTCTCCGTATTTTATTGTTACAGTAATAGTGCAATAGACTTCTTACAGAAGCCAAAGTGCTGGCATGAGAGCTATTTATTAGAAATCTGGAGCTAGATATAGGGCTCTTTACAACATCTTGCTTAAAGGTTCATAATTAAACTTATAATCCTATTGTAAACCCATGTATCCTCCCTCTAATGTGTTTGTTGTCAAAAACAGAAAATTGAAGGATTGAGAGGATAAACCTTCTCACCTATATATCTGTCACATAATGTCACCCCTCCTGCTTCTTTGACTAATATGATACAGTAGAAGGAAATGAAATCTCATGATTTTAAATGTTGACAAAAACATTCAAAATCCATCCTTCAACCAAATTTGTCTGCAAATTTGGGTTTTAGGCCTCAAAATTGCTACTTTTTCCTTTAATAAATATTTGTTAGATGAAAACGTTTTCCTGCATAACAACTAGATATTTGGGGGATAATCATAAAACAGAGAGGGGTATGTTCTAAAACCAATTGAGAAATATATGTAGGAGTCAAGTGGCAATGATAATACAGTAGCTACTTTTTAATAGAAAAGATTAGGAGTATTAATCTCATTACGAGGTAGATACTCCTACTACTATCAACATTTTCCAGGAAAGGAAACCTAACCTTAAAGAGGCAAAAGTGACTAAGCTGAGCAGTCACAAAGCCTGTTGTAAAGTAGCAGAATTAGGATTTGAACACAGGCAAATTTGATTGAAGCCTGAGATCTTTAAGTCCCTGCCTTAGAGACTTGCCTTAATATAAAGCAAGAGTAATTAAAACATTATGATTTTAGCACAGCAATATACAAATATGGACTCAGGCATGTATGAAATCTCAGTGTATGAAAAAACTGATTATTTCAAATCAGGAACAAAGAAGGCCTTAATAAGGGACAAAAGTCTACATGTATGAAAAGAAAATGAGGTTCCAATCTCACATACTATGTAAAACAAATACTAGATAACATAATTTTTTAAAAGCCGTCAGATAACTATAAAAATTACAGTGAATAATTTTACAATTTAACATGGAGGGTGATTTTTAAGCATGACACAAAACTCAAGCCATAAAGGGAAAAACAAACTTTGGGGAAAATATATAATAGAGAGTTAATCATCTCAACAGATAAAAAGTATCCACGCAGCTATAGAACAACCAATAGAAAATAAAATCTATAAAGGCTATGAATAGTCAATTAAGAAAAGGAGTGGGCCTAATGGCCAAGTGGTTAAGTTCGCGCACTTTGCTTCAGCGGCCCAGGGTTTCCCCGGTTCAGATCCTGGGCTTGGACATGGCACGGCTCATCAAGCCGTGCTGAGGCGGCATCCCACATGCCACAACTAGAAGGACTCACAACTAAAAATAAACAACTATGTACCAGGGGGCTTTGGGGAGAAAAAGGAAAAATAAAATCCTAAAAAAAAAAAAAGGAAAAGAAATACAACTGGCCAATAGCATGTGAAAATAAAATTAATCTTACCAGTGGGTCAAATACAAAAGTCCATCATCATGGAGTAGATTATAGAGGAAAGAAACATAATTATCTCATTAAATACAGAAAAAGGAGTCATTAAAATCAAATCATTCCCAATTCTCTGTACAATGAGGCGGCTAAAAGAGAACTTCCTAAACCTGATAAAGATTATTTCCCAACTACCGCTTGCAAATATCATACTTCATGCTTTAACTTTATAAAAAAATTTCTACTATCAGTTACTTCTGTTTAACA